ATATATATATTTTGAATGACTCGGCTGGCTCATAGAAACCCCATCCCTTGTTAATTATGTAGTCACTTGTTATTGTTATTGATTAAGCCGTGTGCTTTTTATTTGTCCTCTTGATGTTTAAGCATGGCATGAGAGTTCTGGTACGTATTTGTTGGGCTGCCTTTCCACAAGTAGTGTCATCGTGAACTACTAGTTCTCAATGGGCTTTTGATTGGTGACTTGTGGATTTGTAAGAGTGTTCGCAAAATCGGCTCATCTAACCGGTAATCGTTCGGTTAGATCGGAATTAGCCAGTGGTCGATTCCAATTTTGGATGGTTTCGGTGTTCAACCGATATTTTTATACTTTAGATATAATACTACTTCGAATTTGAATCATATATATTAGGATGGTTTATTGGTTAGGTTTGACAGTTATGTTGTATTTGAATCATGTTTTGAATCTTGTTTCATTTTCTTTAAAAAAAAAGAGTTGGTCAAGTCAATTTTTTTTAACACTATTTTAATATTCTTTGCATTATGGTAAAGATTACAATTTTTTTAGGTCAATGAAACTTTTATATTTTTCCCATATTTTTTTAGAAAATTTTAAAAATACCCCTAAGCACAAATCGATTCGTTAAAATATATTTTTTTCATTAATTTTCAACTTCATTTGAGTGTGTGTTTTGTTTTAATCACATTCTTTATATACTTCTTATATTTTAATAGCAATTTTTTTTTTGCATCTTTTTTATTTTTTTAATACTTTTTTGATCGTATGGGATTTGTCCGGTTAGAGCAGTTGACTTGGCCAGTTTACCAATTAGGCCGGTTAAATCGCTTTCGAGCCCATATCTGGTTAACCATTCTGATTCGATTTTGCGAACACTGATTTGTAACCTTTGTAGTTAACTCCAGCCATATAACTTTGTCTTTTCTTCTTTTTTGGGTAGAAGGAAATACAGGGCCCTACTCATTTTTAGAAATAATTAGCAGTTTTTTAATGAATGGAAACTTGAATCGAAAATTGAAGCTCAATTGGTACTATCACTACGACCTCAATCCTATTCTTTCAAAAAAAATCAAGTCGAGGGGATTTGGGCTTCTACCCTCGGTGACACCCTTTGGTGATAATGGAGTCAAAGACCTCATCATCAGGTTCGGCATTACTACCTCAAAGACTCCTGCCACTCTCCTCTAGCCTGATAGCTCCTCCTAGGCATTTTGCTTCTTGCTGCTTAGGTGATATGTTTCGTTATTTATAACCATAATACATTTGTTTATTGAAAGCGAGTATACTGATCATTTAGTCCCATAGGATTGTTTTTAGCACCCCAAATAGTGGGATATCACCTCTTTTAACACATAGATTAGCCTCAATTAAAAACTTTTCTAATTGCGCCTTTTAAGTACTTAAAATAATAATGTGTCAAGATTTAATAGAGGGCGATATCCAAGAGTTAAAAAACTCAAATTTCAAAAATATTTCTTTTTAAAATAGTCATGTAGTAATTCTAAGGTGGTTACCCAGACTAAAAAAATTCTCCCAAGTAGGTGATATGACTGCGAGAGTAGAAGTAAAGTATGGTCCGAAGGGAGTACAGTATACTTGCTCTTTTCCGCTAGCAAGTACCCGGAAAGGCATTTATCGTCCACGCCGCAAAGGCATTTATCGCGAAGTTGATCGCCTCTCAACTGCTCTCTCTCTCTCTCTCTCTCTCTCTCTCT